GAAGAAGAAGAAGAAGAAGAAGAAGAAGAAGAAGAAGAAGAAGAAGAAGAAGAAGAAGAAGAAGAAGAAGAAAATAGGCAAGTTAAACAAAATCCCATGTCAAAAGGTTGAGAATCATACTTTTTTTTTTTTTTTTTTCTGATACCGGGGATTGAACTCAGGCCCTTGCGCTTGCCAGGAAAGCGCTTATTCCACTGAGCCATCTCCCCAGCCCCTATTTTAGTTTATTTTTATAAAACCACAAAAGCTAAAAGACTCCATATTTTTTTAAACTTTTAGTTCTATTGGTTTAAAAACTATATGCATTTTAAATAAAACAAATTCATAAAAGTGACATTATTTTAATTTATATTCCATTCAATCTTGACTTACCATATGATAAGCAAGCCCAGTTTTACATAATGCATTTCTGTGTTCTGAGGTAAGTTACTGTAGATCCATGTAGTTCCCCTGAGTATTAGTATTTTCCCTCCTTTTCCCCATTTTACTTTCCTAGGGAAATGACAAGGCAACCAAAGTTTCAAACTTTCTAGAAATGTCCTCTGTCTTTTTTCTCTCCTTCGTATGTAGTAAAAATAAAGGGCTGGCGAGACAGCTCAGCAGGCTAAAGGCCTGCTTAGGCAAGTGCGGGGAGCAGGGCTCCATCTCTGGCACCACCTGCTGTGCACAAGCTGGGGAGGCTGCCTCAGGACGATCCCTACGGGTCCGCACTGTGTAGTGAGACCCTGTACCAAACACATTAAACCTTTTTTTTAAATTTTAAATAAATAAAAAATAAGATGTGGCAATTAAAGTTGTTAATCGCAGACGCAGAGGTTTCTCTACAAGAATACACATCACAATGCTGCTTGTACTAAAATTTTTAAACAACTTGTATTTCTGAGAACAGGAGAACGTAAGACATGAACCTGAGCATAGACAGATCTGACTCATTAGCTACCTGGCCTGGGACAAATTATTTAAGAGCTCTGACCTTCAGTTTCTTGTCCTATAAATGGGGGAAATCGGGGTGTTGTAAGGGAGGCAGGGACGACTGGCGAACGCAGGGCAGAGGTGTGGCCCTGTGGGGCAGTATTTTCCCTCTGTCCATCCCGTCCCTGGTGGCCCGTGGCAGAAACGGCCCAAGGAAATGTGGCTGTGTGTAGCAGACCGCTCACGCTCCCTGCGGGCAGCACACGCTGGTGCGCGGGGCTCGCGCGCGCCCCTTCACTTCCCTGTGCATTAACTGAATCTCCCACAGCTCTTTCCTCAGGAATAGAGATTTACCAAGACCCCTTCGATGCCATTTGCAACACCGAGAAAGGCTGAGCCCATCACAAATGGAAGGTAACGAGAACATCCTAGAACTCAGAGTACGACCAGCAGCCCTGTGGCACATAGGATCCTTTCCCTAGTACACAGATAGGATTTCTAAGGTGTCGCCACGCTCTCCCACTTACGAGAGGAAAGCTGTGGGTCTACCTCTCACGCAGAGAGGAGTCTCTGGGTTCGGTCCTCAGTACTAGGGGAAAGAATTCTTCAAGGACTGCTGGGCGTGGTGGCACAGCCGAATCCCAAACCCGGGGTGAGGCCGGAGGGCTGTGAGTGTGAATCAGCCTGGGCTACGCAGGGCTTCACAGCCAGTGTGACTACAAAGTGAGACCCTGATTCAGAAAGCCAAAAATAAAATAAAATAAAAAATGTTTTTTTTTTTAATTTTATTTATGTGTGTGTGTGTGTGTGTGTGTGTGTGTGTGTGTGTGTGTGGCCAGCTCAGCCCACCAGGGGGCGGGGCTGGCTGGCATGTG